GGAGGAGCAGAAACTTCATACATCATTGTTGGAATGAAAAACAATACAGCATCTTTGGAAAGTTTTGGCAGTTCCTCAAAAGTTAAACATAGAGTTACCATATAACTCAGCAATTCACCTTAGTAATATATTTGAGTATTGAAAACATATGTTCACACAAAATTTGGACATGAATGTTTATAGCAGTATTATTCAAATGTGGAAACAGTCCAATGTTCACTAACTGATAAATGTATAAACAAAATGTAGTATATCTAATCATAATAATGCTAGTGTTTTTTATGCATAAAATGGAATGTACCAGCACCTTCTATAATGAGGATGAATCTTGAAAATATGCCAGATGAAAAGGCTACATATTATATGATCCCATTTTTATGAAATATTTCAATGGTAAATTCATGAAAATAGACTAATGATTGCCAGCGCCTGAGAGAAGAATAGAATAGTCATGACTGTTAATAAGATCGGATTACGGAGGTGAGGAGTGATCAAAATGTGTTAAATTAGGTAGTGGGGCTGGATGAAACACCTTATGAACATGCTTTTTAAAAAAGTCTACTGAAAAAAATCTACTGTTTATTGCTGTGTAGGAGTTGAAACCTAGGCAAGTGCTGTACTACTGAGCTGCCTCCCCAACCCTGAGTTGTACACTTTAAAAGGGTGAAATTTATTACTTTAAAATTTTTGGTAAAATATACAAATATTATAAATTTTTAGATGTTCTGGAAGCTTTAAAAATAATGACTTACACTTTGACTACATCTATGTGATGCATCTGTCTATCTATATATATATATACACACACACACACATATATACACATATTGTGTTATATGTTCAGTAATTTTTCACTGATGGTCTGCTTAACTTATAACTCTTTTTACATCACCAGTATAACAAACACTTCCATATGTTGTATCTCTTTGTATCCGGACAGAATATTTACTAGAGCAGAATCTCAGTCTCTATTTTCTAATGACTTATAAGTACAATGACAGTGGATGGCCCAATCCATAAAAAATACACTGATGAAACAAAGTTGAGAAAGCCATTCAGTGCTGGCTGGCACTGGCTTGTAAAAATGCAAAGGTGGGGTTATAGAAGAATAAAAAATCAAAGCAAGCTTATTATTTCGTTTCTCACCTGTAAAAATGTCCTGGGCTTATTATAAAGCATTTTCTTTCTTTCTTTCTCTGGTCACTTTTGCTGCCTTTGCCATTCAGGGAAAATAAATTGGTTTTTAACACAAGAAGCAATTTTCATGGTAAGCCTGCTTGTGAAAAGATTTCCAAGTATCCTGGGAACAATTCAAAATAAAGTGTCTAAGTGAGGAACATGTTTGCATTCTAAGCATAGAGAGAAAAAGGTTGGTTATATAATGCTCCTTTTCTGAAGTACAAGGTTATATTGTTGGCTCTGTTTCTGTTACTATGTAGTGGGTTTTAAAGATATCAATTACTAGCCTCTAATTGGATAGAGAAATTAATTCTTTACTGTTTTAATTATTTAGAGTAACGAAACTGCTGCTGTGAGTTTTAAAATTCCTGAAAAGCAATCCAGCAGCTATTAAGGAATAATTATCTGATACTTCAACCTTTAGAAACTGGAAGTCTAGTTGAAACCATTTCTATAACATGTTTATAATTTTTATGAATTGAAGTACTTTACCAGTCAAATTAGTATAATCTAATAATATAAGGGGCAGAGGTATTCAGTTAGGGTTAAAAATGTGCGTTTGCCAAGTCCTACAAGTTTTTTTAAGTAACAAAAGCCTATACTAACTCTTGATATTCTTTCACAAAATTTCCCTGTGAATGTCAAGAGTTTATTGTACTGAAATTCTCTTCTTTTGAGGTACACATGTATTAGTGTTAATAACGGATACATCCTGTAGCCTGTAGAAGTCTGTAGATTCTCAGTCACCTCTATGACATAATTTGGAAACTTCCCTGATATTTATCTATCTCTAAATTCATATTAATAATTATATGTCGCCCTGGATTGCTTTATTTTTTAAAGGCACTTATTTTTCCAGGTTTGTATATCCTCAAAACCTAAGTTAATACCATCAATTTTATGTGTATAGATATAGAACCTGTTTTCATTATTGAGTATAGTTCTGGTCAAAATGTATTCTTAATTCACATGTACTCTTTCCAGATACAGTGCAGGTGGGTTCATTCCCATCATGATTGGACTCATCCATGGCATTTAGTAGCCACACTGTGTCACTTAAAATGTCTACTTTCAGACTCTGAACTATTTTTACCTTTTTTTAGAGCCAGTTAATCGGCACTGTTAGCTTCCTTCTGAAAGCCATTTTTCACAAAGAAATAATGTTCTTACCACTGTATGAAGCTTCTCATGGGCAAGGATAAGTGGGAAATGGTTGTGGGCGTCAGCCAGTCATTATTGCTGATCTTTAAAAAAAAACTTCAATTTTGAAATCATTTCAGACTTACACAGCAGATTCCAGGATGGAGAAACCGTTGTGATTTATCAAAAGATGTCTTTCTTTTGTGTATGCTTATGTCTTGATTATGTTGCAAATTTTTCTTTATAAACTTTTAGACATATTGTTAAGTTTAAATAGTTTATCTTACTAGCCAGTATAAATGGAGTTCTTTCTGTGATTCTGTAAATGGTTACCATTTGTATATATGAAAGCTATTAATTCATATATGTGAATTTATGTTATTGTACTTAATTCTTTTCTTATTTGAGATAATTGAAGTAAACGCATAATTGTGTCAAAAGTTTTTCAGCATTCATTGAGACAAAGGATTTTCCTCCTAAATTGGTCAATAAGATGTCTTACATTAATGCATTTCCTCATATTTGCATATCTGGAAACCATTTTACTTAATTGTGATGTATTGTTGTCCCATGAGGCACTCGCTGAATAGTTTCTACTAAATCAGAATTCTGGGAATTCTGGGGATTCTGTGACAGAATGTCACAGGAATTTGCTTTAAACAAGTCTTACAGAAATGGTCCTTCTGCATGTCAAGAATCACTGGCTTACCAATTACTCAAGGTGGGTGGGAAATTGTTACAAAGATATTTCTTTCAGTGATGACTTTGCTCCATGTTTTCTTCAAAATGCTAATTTGAGTTTTAAAATTTTAAATTCTAGGTGACAAACTGGATATAGATTTTACAAAAAAATTAAAGACTGAAGCCTTATCTGCCATTTGATATTCAGCCATTGATACGTTCATGTATTCTGCTTTTTAAGCACTGTGTAAGAATGAAGATACTAAAATATAAAAGACCAGTTCTTATACTGTTGCAGGAGAAATGGAAGATTATATAAATATTTGTAAAAATTAGGTATTGAAGTAGAAAAATTTTCCAGGAATTTTATAGAAATGAGGGGCTTCAAAGAAAAAAATGTCCCCCTTTTCTAACCTTAGAAGACTTTAAAGGGACAGTGATGCTTCGAGCAAATCATTTTCTCAATGATTTGCAAAAATATCATTTACGTGGAATTTTTTAGAAATTCCTCTCAGATACGATGCACTAGTATATCAACATATCAATTCAGTAAACACAGCTATTTAAGATTACTACAAAAAGTAAAGTTGATCTGTAAATGGAATTGTTAAACTAAGAATGAATTCTAAAATGTTCAAACTTATTAGAAACAATGATATCAATCATAAAATACTGAAATGAAAATTTCAGTAAATGGAGCATAAATTACTACTGGTTCTGTTACTATGCTTCATATTCTCTTAAAGAAAAAAAATAGGCTTATGCCCTCAATTAGAATTTGTGATGGTTTGGTTCCAGTCCATGTATTCTTAGTATTAGACTATGCTTATCCAGGACAATTGCTATGTGGAAGAGAGACCATAAAATCGTACATTAACATCCATGCTGGGGTAGTAATTGTGAGTTGGCTTGGTATAGAATGTATTTGTTATCACATAAATGATGCTCATGTAGAATGAGAGGGCAGCATTTTAAAATACAGCACTTGGGGCTGGAGATTTAGCTCAGTGATGTAAGCACCCGCCTGGCAAGTATGAAGTCGTGCTTTTGATCCCCAGTACCAAAAATAAACATTATTTGAAGTCCAATAGTGCTTTTATTCTTCATTTTGATTGGTTTTAGTCTGTCTTCAATTATTTGATTTCAGGATGTATAAAGGTATGGGCAGCTATTTTGAAGAAAACACGACATGATGGTAGCCTTTATTGATTTCCTAGTGTCTGGTTTTGAAAGCCCTTAAGGCTCTTGTTCTTTTGTTTCGATTGCTTTCATGCTATTTTGGATTGTATTAACTTAATCATGTGTGAAGGTATGGACAGCTATTTCGAAGAAAACAAGAGACATTATGGTAGCTACTGTTGATCTCCTGCTGTCTTTTTCTGAAATCCTGTATTATTTGCATTGCTTTACTCTGCTCTGCTTTGTTGTATTTTGTTTTGCTTTGCTTTGTTTTGTTTTATTCTCTTTAAAATAAAAAATAAACTGATTAATGAAAAAGTAATGAAGTGCAATACTGGTAACCCGTGCTCTGACGAAATTTTCCTAAATCAAGTAGAGTAAGGATTATTTCATTTACTAATTTTAATGCGTGTTGGGGGAGTTTTAAAACTACTAAGATGTATATTTATCTAAAGCCCATATAACTGGTCCTTGGTTTTGAATGTGCTACAGATTACGTACTCTTCTGAGCCTGCACTTTGTTAACTGAGACGGAAGCAGATGTCACACTGGACTAATATGTTACTTTTCTACTTTAACCCACTTTAGCCATTACCCTCCAGTAGTTACTTACCAAATAATTTTTTAAGTTGTATATTTGAATACAGGTTTGGATTGCCTCACCAATGGAAAGAAAGCAAGCACTTCAGCATGATTTATGAAAAATTCACAGGCATCCAGATTAGTATGAAGACAATTAAAACAGTTCCTGGGTGAAAAATATCTAATGCCTGTTTGGAGCATGACCATATTAATTTTAGTAATTTCTTTTTGATTTACAGTTGGTAATCAGTGGATAAATTACATTTCATTCTGTGGTCTTAGGACACATGCAGAGCTTGAAGGAAACCTAGTCACTGAGCTTATCTATGTCCACAGCAAGTTGTTAATCGCTGATGATAATACTGTTATTATTGGTAAGTCTATAGTCTGCTATTGTGTTCCTTGCCAGTTGACTTATCCCATGCCCAAATCTTTCTTTCTTATTCTGCCCATGCTTTCTTTGTAGCTGAGAGAAAGAGTTAATGTAATATCTAAAACATTTCGGAAGCAGTCATTTTCTGTTGCATCCCTTTAAATCTGTTTTTAATCTATAAAAAAATCAAAGATGCAGAGCAGAAAAATTGACTTGTTGCAGATTACAATATTAAGAGGCAGTTCAACCTAGCAGTCGAACAATCTGCTTGTTCTCATTCATTCTTTATTGATAAATAGAATAAATGATAGTGTTTGTTAGTCTAATTTTGACTCCTAGTCCTTGCATTTCTGAAATTGGAAGGAGGAAAATAAGGAAGGAAAGTGTCATAAAAGACTATGTTCTGTTAGTTTGTGTATGTTCACAACACAGCCTCCCAGTCATGACCTGAAGCTATTTAAAAAGCAAAGTCCTTTTATTGATGTATTGTTGCCTGTATGTTTACCATTATTGTTCCTCATGCCTGTGTTTTGAGTGTTGTTCACCAAGCTACAAAGCAGACCAGGTTTGATGGTATGTACAGGGGTGTGGAGTAGATTGTATATTAATGATGGGATGAACCCTACATTAAAGGTCACAGTTTTTTCTTATTAAGGATACAGTGGGTTTTTCCAAACACCTCTCCACACTGATAGATTCAGAATTTACTGGTTTTACATTCTACCAATATTAGATCTGTTTGACCAGAAATGGATTTTCATCTGCATTCTCATACACAGCAAAAGTTTAAATTTATCATTGAGTTGTTTGACCTTTTAATATTATGTTACATGAACATGGGAAAGTAAGCATGAGAAACAAAATGTTAATAACCAGCCAGATAAATGAATTGATGAGGGTGGATACATGTTACTCTGAGATAATGTCCAACTTTTAAAGATTCTGCTCATCTGTTTTAAATAAATGTAGTTTCTTAGCTACAATAAGAAAATTACCTAGTCTTTAAGAAATTAAATGTGATGCAATGTTTTGATATTTTTTGGCAGCTGCTATGCCTTTTCCATCTCTATCCTCCATGGAGCAAAGAAAAATTTAATATAGGAATAATTAGACTATCTTATCTGGAATATGATTTGAGAAGTAGTTCTGAAACCAGAGACCATATATACCACAGTGTGTGCATGTGTGTGTGTGTGTGTGTGTGTGTGTGTGTGTGTGTGTGTGTTGGGGGGGGTGAATGAAAGGATTTTTTCACTATTTGTACAGGTCATTTAAGAAAAGCATCTTGTTCTTCCATCTCTTGCTCTATCGAGATTGAAGTTCATTAGTACTCCTCCTCCTCCCTCAATACTCAAGGTTTTTCTGATCCCCCACCCCAGTTATTCTTGGGCCTTGTTCTTCAAAAGCCAACTTCAAAACATTTTATATTAAATTTGGCAATAACAGCAGGAAGGGGAAATACTGATGTTTGCTGAAATGGAAATATAAAGCCAAGTAAAGTTCAGTTGATCTCTTCAGGAAGATGTCAGAACTCTTGATGTAAAAATTGATAGATACAAATATTTTCCTTTGAAGTCACTTTGACTTTCAGCCTTCTTTCCATAGAGTATAAATGTAAATTAGTACTCCTAACAGATCTAACAGTTAAATAGGTTTTGGGGGTTTTTTAATTGACTTATTTTCTAGAATGGCCTTTGAGTCTTTGAAGGTTACAGTTTATTTAGCTGGAAATAATTGGTCAATTTTCTTAGAATTTTTATCCACTCTCTTGAAATTGAAGATGTGGCTGTGGGACTGCAAAGAGGTCTTGCTTGCTGACCTCAGAGGCTGGGTTTCTTTTTTTCTTTCCTAAGAGCATTATGTCATAAAGAATAGATTTCTCCTCTGGAAAAATCCAAAGGTTCTTTTATTCATTTTATCTCAGTGGAAGCTTCCCACTTGTTGTTTCTATAACACATCAGCCTGTTTAAATTCATACTACAGAGTGATATTTAAAATTCTCAAAGAAAAGCTTAAGAAGTTAGGTTGAGCATATTTTATAGATTTTAAACAAGTATTTAAAAATATAAAGGAAGTTAAAGTAACTCATAATTGATTTTTTCCTAAAATGGTAAACTTATACCAGAATTATTGAATAACTAACATAAGAAAAATCACTAATCTTATTTCTCTTATTTTTTTTCTGCAATGAAGATTTCTTTGGCATATATTTTTGATTATCTAGAGACATGAGTAGTCCTGCTGGTCATGAGATCTTAGACCATACCCACTTTACTCATCCGCTTTTATTTTGGCACATAAACTAACATTTATACGCTCTCCTAACCAAAACAACACTCTCTCTTATGTAGAATTTAAGGCTATTTCATTGATGAAATGAGATGATTATTTTTTAGTTTTCACTAATTGAGTACAAAGCACAGATGGAAAAAACACAAATAATACAGCAAAGCCCTTGCAGTGCTCAGAGCTAGAGGAAAAGCAGTCATATCTTCTCCCCAGCATCTGAAGTATTGGGATGGTTCTCGTAGAGCTGTAGCTGGAAGGTCCAGAGATACTCGCAAATTTTGGGCAGGAGGGATTCTATGCATAGATCATGAGTATCCATTTTTGAAGGGCAGGTTAGAAGTAGCATGTGAGGACCTGTAGTTGAAGATCTAGTCCTGTCGGTTTTCTCCCTGCTATGTTAGAATCACTTGGGGTACTTCAAAATGTTTGCAGTGCTCTTTAAAATGGATCAAAACCCAAAGCAAATCAAATGGGTGGATTGATAATAGACACAGGAACACAGCAATACACCAGTGGGTTCCAGGCTCAGGCATGGTGGGCAGGGGAGCTGTTTTAGTTTTTGGCTCAGTATTTCTTTTTGAAGTCCTGGGTGCATGTCTGTCGGTATTCAGAGCTGAGAATTCCTGATGTGAAGGCACTGGGAATATGAGTGAGTGGAGACTACTGTTCGGGTTCAACAGAGAAAGCAGTTTTCCTTGAAACAGAGCAGAGCTGATATGTTACTTTTCAAGTACTGCCATAACAAATGGCCAAAAGCTTAGAGGCTTAAAAGAACACTAATTTATGATGTGACATGTCTGTAGATTAGAAGTCAAACATGAGTCTCAAATCAGGTGTCAACAGGATTGTTGCATTTTTTCCCGGGGGTTACAGAAGACAGTGTTTCCTAGTCCTTTCTAGCTTCTAGATATTGCCCACACTCCTTGTCTGCTGGGCTGTCTGCCATCTTTGGAGCTGGCAGTGTTGCATCTTTGGGAATTCTCAGAAGTCTCAGTCCATCTGTTCATAAGCACATCTTCCTATGACTTTCCTTAATGTCTTTTTTCCCTCTTAATTTTAAAAAGCTATATTGAGCCCACCTGGACAATCCAGGTGGCTCACCCCTGGATCATCACCCTATTATAAGATCATCTCGTTAGCAATCTTACTTCCAACATGCAGCCTTAATTTCCCTTAGTCATGTAACCTAACATAGTCACATGTTTCAAGAATTAAAAACTGGGCATCTTTGGGGCGACTATAAAGGAATATTCTGTCTACTACAAAGGGACTCACAATTTCTTAAACAAGACACAAGAAGAAGCAACACACCACAAAGGAAAAGATGAGTCAATCCAACTCCATTAAAATTTAGAACTTTATTCATTAAAAATGTTATAAAGCAAATGAAAAGATAAACCACGAAGTGAAAGAAAGCATGTATTTACAACATATTTAATATTCAAAACTGATGAAGAACCCTTAAGGCAATAAGAAAGGACAAACATCCAAAAAATATATGAAAGAGCAAAGGAATTTTATAGAAACTACGCCAAAGAGAAAATAACTAAGGGTCATAAATATATGGAAATGTGTTCATAATCATTAATATAATAACTACATGTTTAGACTATTTTTAGACTTAACAGAGTAGAAAAAAAAAGTTAGGCAATCTAAGTGTTGACAAGGTGGTGGAGCAAAAGCGGCTCCCCTTCGATGCTGGAGAGAATGTAAGTTGGAGACCGCTTGGGTCTGACCTACTGAGGTCGTCACACACCCTGCAGGCTGCAGCCCACCCCTGCATGCAGAGCCGAGGTGAACCCTCACATGTGTGTACCAAGGAATGGTAACCAACCACGTGGTGCAGAATTGTGCACCGCTGCAGAGCTCTGGAAGTAAGCCAAACACTCATCAATAACAGTTGAATAAATAAATCCCTGGTGTGCTCATGCAAGAAATATAAACGCATTACAATTTTTCACAGAAAATCCCGAAGACATAACATTGAAACAAAGAAGCAAATTGCAAAAGCTTATCTGTTGTATGGTTCCATTTCTGTAAATTAAAAACAAGTCGGAAATAAAGTACTGTTTGTTTAGGAAAACATGGAGAGTATACTGAACACAAAGTTAAACATCAGGTCTCCCTTTCAGGAGGCTTCTGGGATGTGATGATGTTCTCAGCCTGGTGATGAATTCAGTGATACTTATGTTACTATTGTTCATTGCACATGTTATGTTTTCATATACTCTCTTATATTTTGCTTTTTAAAACATTTAAAGTTTTCTAATGGAGGACTCAGAACATTTTCTGAAAAGTAAGTGATTTTAAAATAGCAACATCCTAATACAAACAAGGCATTATAGTTGCCATAAAAATAATATTTCATATTACATTATCACTGTCACATTGATTAAGCTCCTCTAAAATTTCCCCCTTTTAATTCATTCGTCTATCATATAGTTGAGAGCAGTGCTCTGAGTAATTCCAGGTCAACTCAAGTGCAAGAACCAAACCTTATCTCACAAGGTCAGGAATGTATTCCTACCCCTGGGGGTGTGGGCTGCATTGTGTTGGAAGAGGCTTGGAGATGAGTCTGTGTGTGTGTGTGTGTGTGTGTACACGCGTGCGTGCCTGTGTGTGTGTGCACATGCACACAGAAGCACGTGTGTTTTTCATGCTCAGTCACACCCGTTTCCAGACAGTGAATAGAGCAGCAATGTCCCATTCCAGCAAAATATTATCCTTCCTGGAACAGGAGGATAGTAAAGTCCTCAAGTAGCACAATGCATACTTTGTTTCTGCTGTCCTTATAATTTGCACACCTGCTTGAGGTGGGAGGGGAGTGGTTAAACAAAGGGCAAAGGAGGCTTTGGTGAGCAAATTCTCTGTTCCTGTGGCTTTGAGCTCTGGTGCAGCTCATCTAGGTATCTGATAATAATAATTAAAAGTTGCACAGCAGCTCTTACGTCAGTGCTTTCTACCCCTATAAGGTCCATATCATCATCTAGGTTTAGGAAAGCTCAAATAAAAGCTGAGAAAGATGAAATGAATTGCCCAGTTACTGCTGGTCGGCTGCCAAGGTTAAAGCCGTGGCTGCAAATTTTAAAACAATGCAAATATAAGTCTATGAATAAAGGATGATTTGCTACTGTTTTAAAGGTGGCCGCCTTATAATACCTAAATAGCATCTGCAAATTTCAACAGGGCACTCAGTACTGAGTTACTCAGGGCTACCATTCACACCCAAAGTCATCAACTCCATGCCAATACTGTGGTAGATGGCAGCTAAGTCTCTTGAGGGCAGGGCCGCTTTCTCCCATGTACAAAATACACCTACTGGGCTCAGGGAAGGGCTGACGTCACCGTACTGCTCTGGCTGTCCCCAGCACGGGCCTGGAGTGTGAAGCTGACCCTTCTGCTCCACATTTGCAGAGCAGCAGAGTATGGCAGCTAGGGCAAGAGCAATGAGAAGAAAAAAGTCAGCTGAGCCCCTTGTGTAATTTGTAGGACATCTCAAGGGTTTAAAAGCATGGATCTGCCGCGATTAATGCAGAAAGTGTTCTGGGGTTCTGAACTTACAGCAGAGGACTGCAGAAAGCTCAGGTTGACCTAATATGACAAAATTTGCCCTTCACGTGTGAAAGTCAGCATTCTCAGCTCGTTTGAATTTAAAAATAGCATGGAGAGGAGCTGATAGAGAAGCTGTTGGCATGCCATGTGAGTGTGGCAAGACTATAGCGCTGGGGATGCAGCCTGCATTTCAGATTAGACTCCAGGTGACTGCGAAGGCACACTTGGGTTTTTACATTCATAATTATAGGACTGTGAGTTAAAGGCTATGGAGGATCTGATTCTTATCTCCAAAAGCAAAGCCGTCCTCTGTATTGAACTGGTCAGCATGTCTTTCTTCCTGGAGTACTTCCTGGTTGTGTCAGTTGGAGTCCTTTGAGCCACATACAGAAAGCTCAACAGTAGAGAAAGTATATTACTTCATATAACAAAATTGTAAGTTTGGGTCTTTTTTCTTCCTGTTCCCCAGCTTCAACTTGTCTGTTTGACCCCTTGTGTTTGCAAAATGGCTGCAACCACACCCAGAATTTTGTCCTCTTCCAGCCTTTCAACTCAAAAATCAGAGGCTGAGTAAGACAGCATATGTGTCTTCTATTGTTTTATATGGGAAAGTAAAACTTTCTCAGAAACCCCCAAAGGCTTTTCTTCATGTCCCATTGAGTAGAACTACACCGAGTGCCATTTCCTAAGCCATTTGGTGATAGAAATAATGAAATTGCGGTGGCTGGCTTAGACTGCTCAAGATTCACCCAGGGTTATGTAGGGCTTCCCTAGATCTTGAACAGAATTCACGTTTTATCAGCAAGGGAGCACGGACTGTGGAGGGCGGCCAACAGTGTCTGCCACGGCAGCAAGGTTGTTCAGTTTCATTGTTTCTCCTTACAGGCTCTGCCAACATAAATGACCGAAGCATGCTGGGGAAGCGAGACAGTGAGATGGCTGTCATTGTACAGGACACAGAGACGATCCCATCAGTGATGGACGGACAGGAGTACCAAGCTGGCCGGTTTGCCCAAGGACTGCGGCTGCAGTGCTTCAGGTTGGCCTCCAAAGCTACTCTTACGCTCTCCCTGGGGCCCAGGTTGACCTCTTGCCAACCTCTTGGCACGTATGCCATGCCAGATTCTTCTTTGTCTAAAATAGTGTCTCCCAGGACAGAGGGTGTGTACACTAGTGTGTGAAGTGCCTTTACAGAGTACACAATTTTTCTTTTACTTTAATAGTCTCTTTATTAATAACAGGACAAACTAGCCTTTGAAATAGATTAGCTGATTTAGAGCCAGGCCTAGTCAAAACATAGGGCCTATTTATTTATTTTGTTTGTTTGTTTGGCACTGGAAATTGAACTCAAGACCTTGTGCTTGCCAGGCAGATGCTGTACTGCTGAGCTATATGCCTGGCCCTTACTTAAGTTTTAAAATCTGTTCAGCTTTAAAAATTCACATAGTTCAGTAATATTAAGATATAAAATATTGATAAAAGTGTATTGTGATGATTACCACTGTCATATTTAAGCATGAAATTTTCAGTACTGAGGTTTAGAATGGCACTGATATGAGGTTTGAACACATCTATGGTCAGATTGCGGCGTTAAAAACTAAAGTTGCAGGGGCCGGGGATTTAGCTCAGTGGCATAAGCGCCTGCCTTGCAAGCAGGCAGTCATGAGTTCAATCCCTGGTACTGATAAAAAGGAAAAAGACAAAAAAAAAAAAAAAAAAAAGTTGCAGCACGATGGTTAAATTTCAGTGCATGGGGAAGGCTTGGGACTTTGCTCCCAGGCAGTAAGACCATGCCCTGCATCTGAAATCACCCTAAGACCCACAGGAGGTACCCGAGGGCCTAACCAGGCCCCGTCCAGCCACCTCCAAGCAGCAAGCAGGGCCCAGAATCCAGTCCCCCAGCACCTTCCTCGGCATGTGGGTTGAATTCCAGTGCACAGGAGGCTTAGAACTTTGCTTCCCGGCAGTAAGACCACACCCTGTGTCTGAAATCTGAGGACACACAGAGGCCCTCCCTCAACTGACCCACACCCAGCAAGCTCCAAGTGACAAGCAATTGCCAGCAGTCTGTCCCGGGAGCCAAATGTGGGCCAGATGGTTTCGGGTGCACCCAGGAATAGGCACGACTCCAGCAGGCACTGAGGAATGCCACACCACCCTGGGACCTTGGCCCAGAACTCCGTGAGTTTCCTGCGCGACTCCCGCCAACCCTGGGGAACGCATACTCGGATCTTGGCCTACACAACCGCCTGCTTGATTGCACAGGCAGTTGAATGATTTCAGTCAGCACTGAGGAACGTCTTGCTGCCCTGGGGCCTTGGTCCACTCCCGGCGGATGACTGGACCCAGGGCATCTGCTGGCCCCTCGGGGACATACCCTACCTCCTGGACCTAATTCTGTTGATCTTCAGCTTCCACACTTTCTGCCAGAACCTTGGACTACAGCAGATTAATTATGCTAGCTTGAAAGGAGATTCAGTAACTGTCTCACCCAAACAGAAGATCTCAGCAGGCAAAAATCAGTGTGGTGAGTATGCCTCTAAAATAGAGGTGCACAGTAGGTAAATAGGGCCAGTAGTAAAGCTCCTTCCAACTAACTGAAAGACCTTGGTGAGTCTGGCAAGAGTGTGGGTGACCCCTTCCTGCACACAGAAAACATCAGGCAGGGTGAGGGGTGTGCCAATAAGGACTCCTCCAATGTAGAGAAAATCAAAAGTGCTTATGAGACACACAGGCACACAATAGGGACACAGTATGTCATCAGCTGACACAAACACTATAGACAGATTTCGTGACCTAAAAAACCTAAAAATAAAGTAATAGCAGAAACTAAAAGTTGACCTACATCAATACTACAAGGCTTGTTGGCCCAGGAAAAATATGGGACTCACTCAACAGGCCCTGCAAGGGGAAGTCATGTGACTGGCCCACCTCTTCATTGAGGGACCCAGCAATTAGACAAACATTAACTTTACAGTAGGACGCCAAGATACACACTACCAACAGTTGACACTAGTGGGATTGAAGGACTAAATATTAACTCAAAAGGAGAAAATGACAAGACAAAGAAACAAAATGCAATCTCAAACATGTAGTCCACCAGGAGCAAGTACAGGAGACACTGAAATAGAGGACTTCAAAAGTAACACACCAGAAATCTCTGAAAAGATAGTGAGTAAAATTTAAAAAAAAACCAACAACAACTCCATGAGGCTATAGAGGAAATCAAATTAGAAGTACTCTCCTATGTAAAGATAGAAATAACTACCTTAGTAGAGGAGTTGCTGAGTACAGCAAAGAAGAAACAGAGGAAAAAGTACAGGAGCAAGGGAAACTGAAACCTTGAATGAACAATATAGAAAACAAGCAGAATTCATGAAACAAAGAGACATCTAAGAAATAAAAAAATTCTTTTCAGAGCTGGCAAAACTGTTTAAATGAAGCTGAGGATAGGATTTCACACCTTGAGGACAGGATCGCAATTAGCTATCATGAAAGGATAGAACTTTTAAAACTAACAAAGCAGCATGAAATGAAAATCCAGCAGCTTCAAGATGATGCCAAGAGCAACAATATAAGATTAATAGGCATCAGTGAAGATGCAGGAGTCAATGCAAATGACATACCTAAAATATTCACAGAAATAATAGCAGAAAATTTCTGAAACATGGAGAAAAAATCTGATATACAGATAAGTGAGCCATATAGAATGCCAAACAGTCACAACCAACATAAATCTACACCCAGACATGTAATAATTAAGATCTCAGACATACAGCATAAAAACAGAATACTAAAAGCTGTTAGAGAAAAGACACAATTCACTTGTCAAGGAAAGCCCATTAGAATCACAGCAGACTTTTCAGTACAAACCCTCAAGTCAAGACGAGATTGGAGTGAAGTATTTCAAGCCCTGAAAGAAAACAAATTTCAACCCAGACTGATGTACCCAGCAAAGCTTTCATTCAAATTTAATGGAAAAATAAGATACTTCTATGACAAAGAACAACTAAAGCAATTCACATCCACCAAACCAACCCTAGAAAGAGTATTGACAGACATAGTAGATAGAGATAAAAATGACCACAGTCCTCAGAACAACATCAGAAAGAAACCACCAGATAGGACAAGCAACTAAACAAGGGGGAAAGCAGAAAGCAAACAACTGGAACATAACATGGCAAAGTTGAGCCAGTTCATATCAGTGATATCCATAAATGTAAATGGCCTCAATTCACCTATCAAAAAAAATAGATTGACAGAATGGATCAAGAAACACATATGACACAAAAGGAAACTCATAGATTAAAAGCCAAAGGATGGAAAACAGTATTCCATGCAACAGGAACCCAGAAAAAAGCAAGGGTAACTATTCTATTTGCAGACAATAAGAAATTCAAACTTAAAATGATTAAAAGAGATAAAGAAGGTCACTACATACTCATTAGTGGAACAATTCAAAAGGAAGAACTAACAATTATAAATACATATGCACCAAATACCGGAGCACCCAACTATACAAGACAGATACAAATGGACATAAAAAACCAAATACACAAGAATACAATTATAACAGGGAACCTTAACACCCCATTGTCACAGAGATAGATCAACTAGACAAAAAGTCAGCAAAGAATAATAGAACTGAATCATACCTGTGAGCAATTGGGCTTGGTAGATGTTTACAGAGTGTTCTACCCAACCACATCAGAATATACATCCTTTTCAGCTACACATGGGACATATATCATCCCATAAAACATTCTGAAGTAACTGCAAAGGTATTGAAATTATCCTATGCATAATGTCTGACCATAGCACACTGAAATTGGAAATTAATGACAAAAGAAATTGCAAAATCTGCATAAGTACATGGAAATTAAATAGCAACCTTTTGAACAACCAGTGGGCTACAGGTGAAATTAAAGAAGAAATAAAGCAATACCTACAGTTCTATGAAAATGCAACATACTGCAATCTGTGGGATGCAAAGCAAGTGGTCTTAAGGGGATGTCATGGTTCATGTCAGTGGCCCCCAAGCCTCATGCTTTTGCATTATGCATTTGTGATTGGTTCATTTTCTGGCACATGGATTGGGGGTGTGAGTGCTACACGGGAGTAGGGGTGGAGCAAGATGTGATGTAATGGCAGGAAGAAGGCGTGTCTCTCGCTCTTGCTGGTTTCTGCCTTGCTGTTTGCAGCTGCCAGGAACTGTGGCGCCACCGTGTCACCCTGTCTTGGGGCCAACTGAGTATGAACTGAAACCTCCAAAACCCGTAAGAAATAAACCTTTCCTTTCCCAACTTTGGGAAATCAGTTAATTTGTCTCAGCGACCAGTAAAAAGTAACTAAGACAGAGGGAACTATATAGCAATAAATTTTTATATCAAGAAAACAGAATAAGCACAAATAAACAATCTAATGCTTCATCTCAAGGTTCTAGAAAAAGACAAGCAAGATAAACCCAAAACTCATAGAAGAGAGGAAATTGTAAAGATTAGAGCAGAAATCAATGCAATTGAAACTAAAAAAATAATACAAAGACTTAGTGAATCAAAAAGCTGGTTTTTTGAGAGAATAACCAAAATTGACAAACCTCTAGCTAATCTTATAAAGAAAAAGAAAAAAATTCATGCAATAAGGACTGAAAATGAAGAAATTAAGTCAATCCCATGGAAATTCAAATGATCATAAATACCTACTTTGAAAATATATACTCACATAGAGTGGAAAACACAGAAGAAATGGACAGATTTCTAGAAACATATGAACTACCAAAGCTTAACCAAGAAGATATAACAGTTTTGAGTTACCTAATATAATATCAGCTATTGAAATTGAAAATGTAATTAAAAACTTACCAACAAAGAAAAGCCCAGGTCTTGATGGATTCACAGCTGAATTCTACAAGAAATTTAGAGTAGATCTGATGCCAGTACTCCTTAAATTCTTCAATGAAATTGAAAAGGAAGCAATCCTCCCTAAATCATTCCTGGAAGCATGTATTACTCTCATACCAAAACAAGAGAAAGACCCAAC